GACTCTTGCCTCAGGAGTCTTCGCTTCATTATTGGGACAGTTTCACCTCAAGCTCTGACTTTAGGCATCTGCTCCCTCAGCAGAGTGTGGCTCTGAAGCACATAGCAGCAGCCACACAGGGAAGACTTGCCTTTGCTACTCCTGAAGCCAGATGTGGCACAATGGAAAGGACAGGCTCCAGGTGCTACCAACCAGCCCAGAAGGCCACTAGTAAATGCCTTGCCCTTGAAGGGTAACCTTACTATCAAGATTCTTGTACTATTGACTCAGCTAACAACACTGGAGGACTAGGGTACAGATGCTGCTATCATGCTGCTTCTGCAGGTCTGCAGCAACACAGGCCTTCTGCTGGGCTCTTATGTAGTAGAAGGACACTCTCTGGCTGGACAGCAATCCTTCACATCACCGTGTGGGACCTTCTCCTAATACACCCAACAAAACGCTTGACTGGAAGAGTGTTAAGCTATCTAAACCTCACCCATGCTGACGACCTCAGAAAATTCTACTTGTCATACCCTGAAGCCTACCTCTAAGTGAGAACTAAGCTTATTTAGTGCAGTCCACCCAAGCTCTCTCCACTGTGAGGAGCCAGGACCAGGAGCCACAGAGGCGTACAGAGGTCTCCAGGACACCCCCTCACTTACCAAGGCCAAGTAGCAGGGGCAGGGGCAGGGGCAGGGACTGAGGAGGATCCCAGGAGGCAGAGCATTGTGACATCACCCTCTGTCACCAAGGGGGCAGTACATGCCATCACAGCAGGACCTAACTGGCTCCAACCTCCTGACTTCTGTCTCTGAGGCTGTTCTGTTCTCATGCAGGACTACAGGTGTAGGCTTACAACACTCTGTTCCCTTCAGCAATGCACACTAAGCTGGGCCCCTCACCAAACGTAGACCATAGACTAGGCCGGAACCCCGCTGAAGGAAACATAGCTCCTTCCAATGCTCCTGCAAAAGGGTCAGGACAGGGCCACGGGAACTATATTCTTCCTCGGGCCACATCTTCATGTTTGGCCACTTCTCCATAGGCTGTGTGCCAACCTGCTTGGTGCCAGGGCCCCCTAAGTACCTACTTGCTGCTAGAACAGCTAACCACACCATTGCCCTGTTCCAGCAAGCTCGACTCTGCATAGGGATGCCTCTCTCAGGCAGGGTGATGCTGGGAGGGGACATTCTTGGCTCAGGTGAAGGGAGACACGGGGCGCTTTGCAGGTGTACTTACTTTTGCTTTGGCCTCCTAGGACAGCATGAAGGAAAAGCAGCAAGGTTAGAGCAGTGGGAAAGGCCACCCATGCCAGACAGCAGCTGAGGCAGCCTGGGTCGCCTTTCAGAAGCTGCTTGTCAAGGTGGCACGGCAACAGAGGATAAAATGAGATATACACCACTAAACCCCAGGGGGCTGCCTGGTCCTCAGACTCGAGAGGCAGCACCCTTCCATTAGAGTTCCTCTTATCTGGAAGATAGGCAGAACCACTATGGAAGCTACTGCTCCCACCCTTGCCCTCTTCTGAGCCCACAACAATCTGCATCAAGGTGAGCTAGCACCTACAGATGCTCCCTTAGCTGTGGAAGAAACCCAGCCTCTCCCCTTCACTGGCAGGGCTTTGGAAGAGAAGGACAACGACCTATCTCTATAGGAGCAAGTGGTCCAGGTCTAGGCAGCTCTAAGCTGTGGGTTCTGCTGCCACCAGGGCCCAGTGCCCATCCTGGGAAGAAGCCTCTCACTGAAATGGTGCCACCTCTGGGTTGGGGAGACAAAGATCACGATGCAGATAGGGGTGCCAACCCAAGACGTCAGCAGAAGCAGCAAAGGCTCCCAAGGGACAAGGTCTTCTCCAAACTGCTTTCCCCACAGGTGCACAATAGGCTGAGAACTTTAGCCTGTTTGTACCCAGTCTGGGCATACCTGAACTCCATTGCTTCCCCGGAGGACACGCATATGCAAACCTGCAGCTGTCCAGGAAAAACAGCTTGGAAATAAGTAGCAGTGAATTTCTCAAACCCCCACAGGACAAGTTTGTCAGTATCCACATCCCTACACACAGCTGGCTCTTCTTTCTCCTGAGGCTTTATCCGGGAAATAGCAGGAGCATGCCAAAGAGCCTGAAGTACCAGAAAGAAGTAGCCTAAGCAGGCCCTGGACTGCAGAGTGCCACCTTAGCTCAGCTGTAAAGCTCATGCCTCAGCTCTGGCTTGCAGGTCCCTGGGTTCGGGGAGCTCATGTGGCACACAAGGCCTGATAATCGGTCCTAGGTCCTGAGATACAACACAGACAGACAAGGCCATGTAGCCCAGTACACAGACCTAGCCCCACTCACAAGAAACTTGCCAAAAGAGCTTACTGGCCAGCAAGCAGCCTGAGGGCCAAGCTACAACTGTTCTGCAAAGAACAGTGTTTGAAGTTCTCATAGCTTCTACCTATCCGGACAAGCCAGGCCCCACCAAGGGCACTTTTGGCTTGGGGACCAGACCCTGAGGAAGATGAGAATGGATATGTCACAGCCATGCCCCATCACAGTAGCAAACACCTGGAGGGCTCTATGTGCTGGGAACGATAAAAATGTCCATGGAGGAGCTGGCTTTCTGAGCCCTAAGCCCCATACCTTCTGTCCTTTGGACAGTCTGGGGTAGCATATTGCCCCATCCATCTTTAGAGTGATGGGCTTCCAACACTGTCTGTCCTCCACGGGAGGAGAAAGGAGCAAGGTGGGTAGCCAATGGGTCTGCAGCAAGCTCAACTTGCATCCCTTCACCCCAAAAGCAACACTCTCTGAGCTCATCTGGCGTGAGTCTGTGAACGAATGCTGTCCATAAGGATGTCTGTGTCTGGTGTCCAAAGGGGCAGCTGGTAGCAGCTGGAATGTAAAGAAGACTCAGGAGCAAAGGCTAGCCACACTGCAGTTTATATAGGCAAAGGAACTAAACCTTCGTCTTTTTTCATGGGTTAAATTTTAATCTCCAAGTTCCCATCCTGCTTCTCTGCCTCTGGGATATCCCAACCCTACTCAGAAACACTGGCCTGTGAGGTCGCCCCACCACGAGACTCAAGAGACTAATGCTGTCACTCCAGCCTAAGCTCAGGCAGCTCCAATCTCCTTGGCCCAAGAGCCACTGTTAGTTGGTTCTATTTCTGTCCCAACCTGTGGTATCCTGACTTGACAGAGAGGCCTTGGGGCTTTGCTGGATAGCTTTTGCTTTCTCAGCTTTTCTTTTATACCTGATAACATTCAGACTTAAGTGGGGGGGAGGGGGTTGGTCCTGTGTTCATCTTAGACACAGGAAAATCAACTCCATTGGTATAACCATCCAAATCTGCTGAGTCGAGTGATATGTGGAGCTAGAGACCAAGGCATGTCCCAGAACCTGTACTTCACAGGAATGTCTCAATGACTCCAATCTTCAACAGGCACACACCATCTTGAATCCCTGAAGAAACTCTCAATACCAGCATCTTCTGCCTTTATGCCTCAAGAGCCACTCTTTCTGGCCATCAACCCCTCTCAAGCACCCTTTGCCTGTACTAGGCCCTGGAGCCTCTCCTATCCAAAACCTAAGCCTGGAGATCAGCTTTCTTCTGAAGACAGAAAGCCATGCAGCGCACATCCCGGGCAAGAAATTGTAATATGGCTCCCTCTGCCAGCTCTCCAACTGTGTGGTGAGTTCTCCAGCAGTTCAAAAGGAGGCTCACGCTTAACAGGCCACCAAAGGGCTTGGTTAGGGGACTCCTTGTCCCTCTGAGGACTTCTTCCTCTTGACTTTGCTCCACGAGATTGGTTAGGGGGCACTTGGTTGTCCTGTCACATAGATCTGTTTTTTTTTTTTTTTTTTTCTTCATCTGTGAGAATCCGCCTGAGGTAAGCCCAGTTATCCCCGAATGACAGGGCCAGTTCTGAAGCACCCCTGGGGCTAGCACCCCAAGACCGTCTTTAAGTTCTTTTGCTGCCGAGGTGGCTTTTCACTCTTAGAAAACCATGATGCCGGGAGAGCGCTCATGCATTAGAATAAAGAGCGAGCGTACCCTTCAATGCCCCTTTCCCAAGAAAACTGCCCAGCCCATCTTACTGAAATCAGTAAGCAGAGCCAGCCCTATCACTTTCGAGCCAATCGGCATCACATGCCTTTTCTCAACCCTGTGTTCCTGGGCCTTCTAAATTCCACGAGACTGCACCCGAAGCAACTTTCCTCTACGCCTGGAGTTCGCTATGCCCTCGATGCTTAACCACAGGACCCAAGACCTTGGCAAGGGCTGGAGCAGACCAACGCCGGCCCCCAAAACTCCGGGGGCCGATCGTCTGCAGGCAAGGATATTACTCAGGGCCGGGCCGGGCCACCGCGCGGCCAACCTAAAGCAGCACTCAAGGAACCATGTGGCCACTGGCCTGCTCCCATATAGGCCCAGAAGGTTCCCCGCAGCCAGCTCTAACCCAGTGGAACCAACCCTAACGGCGCGAGGCCAGGGCACTGCAGGCCTCTGCCGCACGTGCGCTCCTCGAGGCGGGGCCCGCGGTACTCACACGCCAGCCAAGGACGCAGCAACCAAAACCTGGAACTGCGCGCTCAGGACTGCAAAGGAAAGGGAGGGTGACCACGCAGCTCCCGGAAAACGCAGCGGAACAAACCACGAAAGGTGCGGCGGGGGACAGAACCCTGGGCACGCGCTACCTCGCCTTCAGAGAATGCATCACGATGCATGCAGAAACCACCATGGCACAATCCTGGAGACAGGTACCTCGGGAGTCGCGCTTCTCCCGAAGAGTTTTTGCTAACAGCCGAGAACCGGACCTCCCGAAAAGCCGCACCCCTCCACAGCCGGAAGAGTGGAAACGCCGGACTCGGGCGGGGAGGAACGAAGCTAAATGTGCGCACGCGCTGGTGACGCTCCCGAAGCCAGACTAAGCGCAGGCGCCACGAGGCGAAGGGGCGGGACTTGCCCGCCTGAGCAGGCTGGGCTGGCGAGACAAAAGGGAGGGACCCGGGCAGCCCCGCCCCCGAACCCCGCCCCAAGCGGCCCGCCAGGAGTGTCAGGCTTGCAATCCGGGGTGGTCTCAGGCGCCGGCGCCATGTACCCCGCGAGCCCTCCGACCGGCCCGGCCCTACACCCGGTCCCTCATCGCGCTCGTCTTCCCCCGCCCCGGCGCCTTGCTGAGCAGCGGCGATCGCCAGCGCCTGGCCCGGGTTCCACCGAGCGCCCACCGCCCCCGGCGCCTACGCCGCGGCCCCGCGTGGCCGTGAAGATGACTTTCCGCAAGGCCTACTCCATCAAAGACAAGCTGCAAGCAATCGAGCGCGTCAAGGGCGGTGAGCGGCAGGCCAGCGTGTGCCGAGACTTCGGCGTGCCAGGCGGCACGCTGCGCGGCTGGCTCAAGGACGAGCCCAAGCTGCGCTGGTTTCTGGACCAGCTTGGTGGAGAAGTGGGCACGCAGCGCAAGAAGATGCGTCTGGCCAACGAGGAGGAGATCGACCGCGCCGTTTACTCGTGGTTCCTCACGTTGCGCCAGCACGGCGTGCCGCTGTCGGGACCGGTCATCCAAGCGCAGGCTGAGGCCTTTGCTCGCCAGATCTACGGCCCCGAGTGTACCTTCAAGGCTAGCCACGGCTGGTTCTGGCGCTGGCAGAAGCGCCACGGCATCTCTAGCCAGCGCATTTATGGTGAGACTGAACCCCCGGTCGCAGGCCCCGCACCTGTCAAAGAGGAGCCGGCGCAGCCGCCGAGCGCCGGTCTGCTACCTGACCGCGAGCCGGCCACTTTATCCCACTCCGAGGGATGCTATGGCGACGAGCAGATCTACAACGCTAACGTTACTGGTCTCTATTGGAGGTTACTTCCCGAGCAGGCTGCAACTCCAGGCGCAGGGGACTCCGGGGGACCTGGTGGGTGCAGCCGGCGCTGGCGCAGCGACCGAGTGACAGTACTGCTGGCCGCCAACCTGACGGGCAGCCACAAATTGAAGCCACTAGTCATCGGGCAGCTACCCGACCCACCTAGCCTGCGGCACCACAACCAGGACAAATTCCCCGCCTCCTACCGATACAGCCCGGATGCCTGGCTCAGCCGGCCTCTTCTTCGGGGCTGGTTCTTTGAGGAATTCGTCCCTGGTGTCAAGCGCTACCTGCGCCGAAGCTGCCTCCAACAGAAGGCCGTGCTGCTGGTGGCCCATCCATCCTGTCCAAGCTGGGCCACTAGGATGCCTGCCCTGGAGGAGAGCGAGGCGACTCGCAGGCAGTGCCAACCCGAGCTCCTTGGATCCCCAGAGGAGCTGCAGACACCTGATGGCGCAGTTCGAGTGCTCTTCTTGTCCAAGGGCAGCAGCCGAGCGCACATCCCTACACCTCTGGGGCATGGTGTGGTGGCAGCCTTCAAGCATTTGTACAAACGGGAGCTGCTGAGACTTGCTGTGTCTTGTGCCAGTGGCTCCCCGCTGGACTTCATGAGAAGCTTCATGCTCAAGGACATGCTATACCTGGCTGGCCTCTCTTGGGACCTGGTCCAGGCGGGCAGCATAGAGCGCTGCTGGCTGCTGGGTCTGCGGGCCGCCTTTGAGCCTGGGCAGCAGCCAGCCCACCAGGTAGAAGAGGCTGCTGAACGCAGCAGGGTGCTCAGTGACCTCACACATCTGGCAGCTCTGGCTTATAAGCGCCTGGCGCCTGAAGAGGTGGCAGAGTGGCTGCACCTGGATGACGATGGAGGGCTCCCTGAGGGTTGCAGAGAGGAGGTGGCCCCTGCAGCTCCTCCATCCCCAGCCAGCCTGCCCTCTAGCGTGGGGGCTGGAGAGGAGGAGGAGGAGGAAGAGGCCACTGAGCAAGGAGGAATGTTGGTACCTACTGCTGGGGAAGCCATTTGGGGACTAGAGACGGCGCTGAGGTGGCTGGAGAGTCAGGATCCTAGAGAAGTGGGGCCGCTGAGGCTGGTGCAGTTACGTTCCCTCATTACCATGGCACGGAGGCTTGGAGGCATTGGCCCCTCGGCAGCAGCTTCTGGTGATGGTGTGTGACTGCCTTGGCCCAGTGGCCCTTCTCCTGCTGCACTGGGAGAGAGGGTTTATATACAGTCCTCCATCTTCCACCTTTTCTCCCTGGTATAGTCCTCTGTAGAGGTCCAGGGGTGCAAGCCCAGCCCAGCTTGGAGGAGTTCTGTTAGTAAAGAATATCCTGGCCCATGATCTATAGGTCCTGGGAAAATAATAGCTCAAAGAAGCAAATGCTCTTCCCTGGGTAGGCACATGTGGGCACTTAAGCACAGCACCTAGTGGAGAACAGTTGACTGTACCTCCATTCTGGCCCCTATGGGGCTCACCCTCTCCCCTCCCCCATGTCCACTGGATGAGGCTGCTGTGCCAGTTCCATCTGCCTCCCTGGTGCTACCTGGTTTCATCTCAGTGGGGAAGCACTTGGTTTTGTTTTAAAAACAAGTACACATTAAACCTGTTTTTAAAAGATGCTCTTCACAGGGACCCTGAGTGCTGGCAGAGTGAGGTGGTCTCTGGGCTCTCTTGCCCTTGCTCTTATAGCTCTGTAGTTATCAGAGTTATGCTGGGCCAGAGCCCAGGGGAGGCTCCAGTCCCTGATCTGGGATGGTGTGCTCACAAGCAAGTGGGAAAGGGGAAGTGGAAGCCCCCAGTGCTTGGTGACATTTGGGATGCAGCAGAGCGTATAGTAAATTCTATTCTACTTGGATTTTTAGTTCTCCCTTTAAAAACTCCGTTCGGAAAGACCCTCTATTCATGATGTTGGCAAGTGTTTGGATTTGGACCCAGGTGGCTTGAACCAATGGCAGGACAAACCACTTTGTTTAGTTCCAGGGCTATCTGATCTTCCTGGAAACAGGTCATAGCCTCTGTAACTGTCTGGGAACTCAGCAGTGCCTTAGAGCCAACCCTTACCCCGTGGACTCTTCCTGCACCGGCCCTCCCCCTAGACTCATCCACCTGGTGTTGTATGCCTGAGAAGCTATTGCAGGAAGGCCCAGTTTGAAGGATAAAAGGCTCAAAGGAATGTCCAGTTTTTGTATCACCCTGCTGCTCTATCCAAGTGGGTTCTGATAACTGCTGCTGACCTAGCGCAGAGGCACCTGTGTCTTAAGGAGGGGCGCTGTGTCTAGGCAGAAATACTGTCCTGAGTCCTTGTCCTGGTATTCTCCCCTCGTCTTCACTTCTCATAGTCTGAGCCTTGAAAACATGAAGGGGGGAGGGGGGGAAGGGAAGTAACAGCTTGGCAATGGGCAGAGCCTTGGATGAAGTATCCAAAAGTGACTTCCATGTAGGTCCAAGAATACAGCTCCTTGGAACCACATTACATCCCAGTCAAAAACATGCATAAATAGTAAAAGCTGAGGGAAAGCATGGTACGAGAGAACTGAGGCTCAGGTAGCGGACTCCATCTGTACACACTGGGACCCATCTGACCACCTATGTACTTGGCCTCCCCGAGCCTGAAGACCTAGAGGACCTTGGGCAATCATGACTGGCAGGGGGTCTCTAGCACTAGCAGCTAAGGTGGGGTTTTTCAGAAGTCTGTGTTCATACCATCAGCCAGGCACCATCCAGCTTTGATAGACCTGCCTCCCAGGTCTCTAGAGAGGCAAACCTGGGCTTTGGATGCACCTTCAGCCTGGGGAGCCTCTGATAGCTGCTCTTCAGCCTAGGCTACCCCTACTGTTCTTTGGAGAGGTATCTATCGGTTTCTGTCTTCATCCTTTCTGTTGTGTTTCTTCCTTTGGCCTGGGTCCAGACAATCTGGAGTTGGCAGAGAATAGGGTTTAGGAGTAAGACCTCCTGCCAGCCTCTCTTACTGTCCAAGCCCCTTTCATCTGGGCACACAAGACCCAGGAGGTTGCTGTGGCCCCACATTGCTGCTGCCCTATAAACAAGCAAGTGTGGGCCAACTGAGTCACAGTGCTGCTGACAGGTTTGTGTCCATGTGCTATCATTAGCTGGACTAGGGAGATGCCCATGAGTAGGCACAAAGCTGTCATTTCCGGCTAAGGGTCTAGTGCAGTGGCTGGGTGCTTGCCCGGGATGCCTGAGGCCCAGGGTTCAAACATCAGCACTACAAGAAAAAAGGAAAAGAACAAAAGCAATTTTTACGGAGTGGAATAGGCTGGTGAGTTCTTTACCTTCTCTAAGCAGAGGTTTTGGTGGCGGAGTCCCGGTTGTGGAGGAGGCTGCTTTGCCCAGGGGCCTGACATTTACCCCGGCAGTAGGACCTATAGCTCCGGAGCTTAGCGTGCTGCATGCATCTGCTGCTGCACAGAGGCCCCAGCCCCAGGCGCAGCTTGGCCTGAGATGTGCAGTTACCTCACCTTTCTGTACTCAGGGTCTGATGGGGCTCCCTAGGGGTTCATGGGCCCCTTAGGAAAGCCTTATACTCTCACTGTGTACCCATCTGAGTTGCACTGCTGAGCCCTGTGGGCACCAAGTTGCACAAACTACTAAAGAGGATAAAGCTGCAGATCCTTTCTACAGCAGCCATTGCCACCTGCTAGGTACCAGGCATCATGCGGGAATCCCACTTGCCCAAGACAGAAGTCTGCCTGTTTCCCACAAAGTGTGGCAATCCTTTGGCTTAGGAAGTATAGACAGCCTTTTCTGCTAGGTAGTCCTGCAGATTCATAAACAGATTGTCTGGAGAGAGCACCCAGCACAGAAAGATAGGTGAGCGTGGGTTCTGTTGGAGCCACTACCACTGCTTTGCTGGGGGAGTGAGAGCTTGCAGTGGTCATAGGCAGTCTTGTCCCCAAGGTCCATGTACTTGAGAAGTGACAGCAACTGAACAAAATCATACGAGAGGAGGGGAGCTCTCTCAAGCTAGGAGGGTAGCTTGTAAAGGGGACTGAGCCCTTTATACAACTTAGTAGGACTGCCTGTGGGAAGCTCAGCTGGGACCTGGCACAGTTTAGCCTCTTCTGCATGTTCCCACAAGAGCATCTTGACCCCATCAGCCATCCTCAAAAGGATCCTGGGCTTACAGCTTTCATGTGCTATTGTAAGGCCCTTTCTCTGGCACTCAACCTTGCTCGCAGCTGAGGTTATTGGCCAAACGATCTAATGGCACTTGTGTAATAAAGGCAAAGCAGGTCGACTTCATCAGCTACCCTGTTTTAGTCTTATTTGGGGGACTAGATCTGATGCTTGGATCTGGAACACTCTGTAGGATGGAGGGGGCCATAAAAGTGGGACAGTATTTATTAAAGAGAATACCATGAGCATCTACCAGCTTTTATCTCAGAAAGCAGTGACTAGGTGAGCAGCATGCAATAGGAAGGGGCCTGGATTATAGTGTCACAGCTGTATGGCCCCAAAGCTGCTTCGTTGAGTAGCCAGCAACCTGTGTCTCAGTCTGCCACCAGTGGATCTGAGGCCACATAACAAGCTCTGGACCTTGACTGGGCAATGAAGGGGTGTGTTCCACTTCCCAGCCCTGGTTCCAGAAGCAAACAGCCATTGGCCCACCATAATCGGTGAGTCTCTTGGCAGGTGGGCTGCCTGAAGAGTTTCCATAAAGGGGTGCCTTACCCTAGACCCTGGGACTCTATCCTAACTAGACTTGGCATAGCTTGGAAGCAAGGTTGCAGGGAAGCTGACTGTCTTGTGTCCAAACAACACAGGCCAATGACCCTGCAGCTGGCATGGTGAGACCCTCCGCTGTCCCTATCACCTGTCCTCTGAGCCTCTTATCACTGGTCAGCTCACCCAGCACTTTGTATAAACACAACAGTGGAGCTGTTTTTCTCTAAGTCCTTCCACGTGAGGAAAGAAGAGCATGGACTGACAAGTGACAATGCCAGAGTCCATTTAGGAAGGCTTTGGCTGAGAGGAGCTACCCAGTGGGAATGGGATACAATGGGGGGAGGGGGAGGGAGAACGTCCAAAGAAAGGGGCTGAGAGAAGGGGGGGCTGCAGTGCTGGAGTAGTGGGACTGGGGACGGGACAGCTTCTTCCTGTCTGTAAATGCCATCAGTCCTGCTTTATCGATAAGGGTTAAGTTCCCTAGGGTCACCCAGCTAACAGATGCTACCATGGGAGCTGCCCCAAGCCACAGTAATGGGTGCTTCCAACCTAGCCTCAGGAGGCTGCTGGGTAAAAGTGAGGGAGTCAACCCCTTGGGGTCTGGATGGCAATGACAGTTTTAGTGGAGGGGGTATCTGGGGCAGGGCCAGAGTTACACCAGGTTGTCCCTATGCAGTAGCCTCAGAGCCTGGGCCCTCAATACCATTGCCTCACTTTTCTCTAATTCCTGGTTTTCCTGGTCTGCTGGAATAGGAAAAGATATACTAAAAAAGTCAAATCCTGCCACGGTAGTACCTGTAGTTATAGTACCAGGGCTATTGGGCACTCAAGGACTCCTGACCCAGCATTCTTGAGGCTCAAGCTCTTCCTGCCATGGAGCCAGCTTAGGTACAATAGGGAAGAAGCCTATGTCCAGCCGGAGGCAGGGGTCCAGTCTTCCAAGCTAGCTAGGGCTCACTTTGAAACCTCAAACAGCTCTTCCACTTGACTAGTGTAACCAGAGCACAGGACACGTTGGTGCAGCAACTCAACTGTGGAAGAGCACGCCACCTGCTGGCGGCTCAGAAGAGGTGAGTTTTCCAGCTTCCACAGGGACTCTTCTCCTGTGGGCCAAGACTTCATGGAGAGGGAGAAAGCTTCTTGGGCAAGTGCCATCTACTCCTCTGCCATTCCTACCCCTATCCTCCAGTAGTTTAGCTACTGGGTTTTGAATAGTCCAATGGAAAATTTAGAGAAGGGCCAGGACTCCAGACCAGGCTCAGTAGCTCTCTCTTGTTGCTAGTAGCTCTGTCTGGATTTCAAAACCCTCCAACCCCTCGAAACAAGCCCACTTTCAGACACCTGAGAACCAACATTGGCTATCATGTCTCTTTAGAAGTAGGGTTATATACCAAGCATGGTGGCACACGCCTGTGATTCCAGCACTTGGGGAGGCAGGGGCAGGCAGATCTCTGTGAGTTCCAGGCTAGGCAGGTCTACAAAGTGAGTCCAGGACAACCAAGGCTACACAGAAACCCTGTCCCAGATAAAAAAGATTAAATTACAAAAAAAAAAAAAAAAAAAAAAAAGAAAGAAAGAAAGAAAGAAAAAGAAAAAAAAAAAAAAGTGAGTCCAGGACAGCTAAGGCTATACAGAGAAACCCTGTCTTGAAAAACCAAAGAAGGAGGAGGAGAAGAGGCGGAGGAAGAAGAGGAGTTACTGCCTCCTCCATGAGGAGGCCTGCAGATCTGGATACTTTTTCTGGGTGTAGAGGAAGTGGAAACACTTGTGTGATGGATAGAGAACCGTGGTCCTTAGAAGCAGTAAATGTAGAAAACAGAGGTGACCCAAGCAAGGAGGCTGGTAGCCAGTATTGTATGAATTCTTCCTGAGGAAATATAAATTCTTGCCCCCTCCCCCCCCACTTTATAGCGCACCAAGTACAAAACAAAGTAAAATTCCACTAAAATCCAACTTAGGGAACCAGTAAGTTTATTGGGCTTACAGGGTATAGATGGAGTGTTGCTTATAGTAGTGTGGGTGACCCCAATACAGCAACATCATCAAAATATCTCATACCAGAATGGATGATGATGTTCCTGTATCTGCAAAGATGGGAACCTTTCCTTCTTCAGTTCATCTTCCCGCAGACTACATATTGTACTACCTCCTGAGACCATGAGGCCATGTACAATTAGGACTAGCTGAGGGGTGCAGAAGGGAGACTCTAGACTCTCAGATAAAGGTCAAATGACCCTCCCCACCTTTCCTCCCTTCAACGAATGTCACAGTCAACAGAGCTGATCTTGAGGGTACTTTACAAGTAGTCACAGCTTCTGTGATGATGATGATGATGATGATGATGATGATGATGATGACGGCCATTACGCTTGAAGGACAGCACACTGCAGCACCCATGCAAGGCTGTTCTCACCACTCAGAGGCCGTAGCTGGGCAAGGAGCCTCGAAGGTCATCTGAAGCCTGCCTTACTTCTTGCTGAGCTCCTTAGCCCGGCAGGTAGCCGCTTCCACAGCGCTCATGGTAGCTGCTCGAAGGCCACCCTGCTCTAGGGCATGAAGCCCATGGATGGTGGTTCCGGCTGGTGTGAGCACATCTGTCCGAAGCTGAGCTGGGTGCTTCCCTTCCCGCTGCAGCATTTTGGCTGTTCCCTGGGGAGAAGGTTACAGACTCAGTGAGGCAGCTACACATTTCCCCAGCCTGTGTGAGCTTTGTCTTCCTGTTGGCTGGATAAAGCACACACTTGAACCTTCGCGACATTCTCCTGAGGAAGCCTTCACTCACCAGCAGGGTCTGGACAGCAATGCGGTGGGCCAGGTCACTGGGCATGCCCATCTTGATGGCACCTTCCGCCAGGGCCTCTGAGAATGTACACACCTGTAGTAATAGCATTGAGAGTAGGGAGGAGGCATGTCAAAGTTGACATTTTGCTGGACACAGCTCCTGGCTAGAGAATATGCAAAACAGCAGTTCTCAAACTGTGGGTTGCAACCCCTTCGGGAGTTGAAAGACCCTTTCACAGGGGTTGCCTAAGACCATCAGAAAACACAGACATTTACATTACAATTCATGACAGTAGCAAAATCACTGTTACGAAGTAGCCATGAAAATAATTTTAGGGTTGGTAGTCACCACAACAGGAGGAACTGTATTAAAGAGTTGCAGCGTTAGGAGAATTGAGAACCACTGCCTCAGAAGAACAAGAAACAAGGCCCTAAATGGGGTCACAAATACCTGAGACTATAAGGCCTAAGCCCAGGGTTTGGTGAAGGGGCCAGCCTCGATGTCCAATAAAACATGCTATTCTGAGGGACAGCAGAGCTCATCGTTAGCATATGGATCACTCTGAAGCTTGAGCGCAATGTCTTTGCTAAGGGCTTGCCTTCCGGGATGTGGGTTAAGACAATACTCACAAAGGCCACGCCGCTGCCACTGAGGCCAGTGTGGATATCTACATAGGACTCGGGAACCTCCATGCACTGTCCACAGGCCTCCAGCAAGTTCTGTAGGAGCTTCATGTCATCATTCCCAGCATGCTGGCCCCGTGTCATCACCATGGCCCCCTCCTGGACTAGGCAGGGTAGATTGGGAGAGACTCGTAACACTCGTGTTTTCGGGGGTAGCAGCTAGACAGAAAGGAGCTCAGTGTCAGGCAGCCTATGAGACTGGACAGGCCTGCTGGGCAAACACCTCAGTGTTATAAAAAAAAAGAAAACCCCGAATGATTGATTTTACCAAAGAAGACTCAGGAGCCAGATGCTGGGGTGAAAAACCTGCTAGCTCAGAGAGGCAGAGAAAGCACCCAGCTGACCCTCCCACTCAGCTCATGTCCTAAAGCGAAAAGCCAAAAGCTCAAAGCTAAAAGCCCCCAAAGCCAAAAGGCCAAAAGAAAAGAGCTTGCTAGCTCAGTGGACAGCCTAGGAGAAAAAGGGCTGCTAGCTCAGTTGATAGTCCAGGAGGAAAAACCCAAAAGCCTTTCTTCTTTTCCACACTGTCTTAAATACCCTTCAACTCAAAGACCCTCCGTTCTGTTTACTCCCTGTCAGCCGCTTCCTTGCTCTTCCTCTTGATCTAGGGTTAACTTTATTAAATAAAGCTCTTGAATTAAAAGGGTGTGCTAAGGCTGAGCTACACCAAAATCACCTGTTTACAATAAACAGAAAGTTCTTGGATTAAAGGTCTGTGTAAGGGCTGAACCACGCCAAACAAGAAACAGGTTTTTACAGTTCACAATCTAGGGGTTCACAATGGGATCGAATATCCTGCAATACCTCAGCCAAATGCAGCCTCTACTTCCCACTTCCTAGGTACAGTGGCAGGATATTACCCCAGCCACCATCCCTGGTGGGCTAACTAGCTCCTTTCGGAGGCTGGCTGGGATGCTGTCTGCCTCCCAAGTATGGCCAACAAAGCCTATTTCAGGGTCTAGGCCTTATTCACACCATGGGGCACTTACCTCCTCCAAAGAGCTCAGAGAGATCCCAGCGGCCACAGATACGATGATGTGCTCACTGGTGACAGCAGGGGCCACTTCTGCCAGAACCACTGGCAGGACTTGGGGCTTGGTGGCAAAGATGACAAGTGAACAGTTCTGCAGCACCTCCTCATTGCAGTGAGTAGTCTGGCAACCCAGAGCCTAACCAGACACCAATGCCAGAAATGAGGCTGTGTGAGAAGGTATCCTACAACCCACCTATGTACCATCAAACATTCTGCATCCCCTAGGATCCCCCAGGCCAGGCCTATGTTGTTACAAATGTCGGTACTAGCCGTACTCTCAAATGACAAACCCAACAGGCCTCCGCTCCTCAGACTCCCAAGTTTTATCTTCTGGAACCTTCCCTCCTAATTAGTGTCCACACCCACCCTACATAGGGACAGCATTGAATCTGCTCTAGTCTTCCAGGAGCTTAACTTTCTTCCTGGCCTTTGACCTCCCCTTCTCCAGGACAGACCAAACTACCTCAAACCTTCAGCTAAACCTGCCCCTGATCAATGCTTCAGGAGGACAAGACCCTAGGTCCCACTTACCCTGAAGTGACAAAGGTTCTTGTCTGTTGGTGCACTGGCCAGCACTTGCTTAGCTTGCACTTTGCCTGAATAGAAAGGCAAAAGCTGGTGAGGGCTGGGAAGATAAGAAACAGCTTGCCTAGTCCCTGTCAGCCTAAGGCTCCATAGGGACATAGCAGGGATGCTTGTCCTTGGGGCCGAACAATCAGGTCAACTCAAACGTACTTCAATCTCACTGCCGCTGCTCATGCTCCTGTTGGACATGAGCCAGAACCTGCCTGACCCTAACAAGACACAGAGACCAAGAGCCTCTGCTTTCAGGGAAGGGGCAGCTGACTAGAGCATTTATGTTTACTGGCCAAAACACAAAACTTCTGAAGGAATACCAGGCCTGTTGCGGCATGGTGGGTAGGGAGATAGTTGGTAAAGGGTCTGGAGAGACAACTCAGCAGCTGAAGAGTACTTGCTGCTCTTCCAGATGACCTGGGATGGGTTCCTACAACCCATGGGCAGCTGACAACTATCCATAACTCCACCTCCAGTGGAACCAGTGCCCTCTTCTGGCTCTGAAGTCACCAAGTGTGCAAGCATGCATGTGTGTGTGCACAGTGCACAAACAGATAAAACACTCATATATAATCTTCAAAATATATATATATACATATATATATATATGTATATATATAGCCGATCTTGGCCAGGTGATGATAGTGCGTGAATCCCAGCATTTGGGAGGCAAAGGCAGGCGAATCTCTGAGTTCAAGGCCAGGCCGGTCTACAGATCGAGAGTTCCAGGACAGCCAGGGCCTTGTCTCAGGAAAACAATACAAAACAAAAAACCCAAACAAACAAAGCCAATCTAAGAAAGACCTAACAAGGGGATCAATTCCACTGAGACACCGCAAGTGTGCTGGGATGTCTTGGGGAAGACTGAGTGCCCCTTTGGAAGACGTAGCGGTAGAAAAGACTGGGCCAGTCGGAAGCGCACACCACAACCTGAACAGAGAGGAGCTAATCATGTCTGTGACAGTCTGTGTCCCATCAAGAGGCGGGTGAACAGCCAGGTTTTACATGCAAACACCCAAGACTTGCAGGAAGCCATTCTCTTACAATCGAGAGCCTCTGGACTTTGAAGTACAACTGAAAAGCAGACAGCCAAAGGTCACCAGCTTTCTCTACCTGCAATCTGTTGGCAAAGTTTCCTTCACTAAGTTTTCTAAACGCTGTACGGCAGTGGTAGGCCAGCTATAACAGCCGCTGTTCTACTCCAACAGGGACGGCAGACAGTCTTCAGTACACAGGGCCAGTCCTCTTCCTCCCGCATGTCCACACAGCTGCCCACCTCTGAGAGTGGAGCTGATGCATGAATAGAATACTGAACTGGGAGGAGGAGGAGGAGGCCAGAAAGTTGGACATTAACTTGGCATTAAATCAGTTCAACCTAAGACATGGTTTGAGCCACATAGGTAACTATAAACTCACAGCCACATTAAGGAGGTAAGAAGTTATAAGTGTGCCGGGCAGTGGTAGCTCACACCTTTATAATCACAGCACTCGGGAGGCAGAAGCAGGTGACTCTCTGAGGTCAGGGCCAGCATGGTCTACTGAGCGAGTTTCAGGACAGCCAGGGCTATCCAGAGAAATCCTGTCTCGAGAAGACAAACAAACAAGCAAAACCCCCACGAAGAAGTCACAAGTGAAGTTAATCGTAACTTTCTTTCATTCAATACATTTAAAGGAATATCAGTCAACAAAACAATCTGCTAAAATAAGCTGTGTTATCTTTATCCACATCATGCCCGGTCCGGCCGCCCACCTGCCTGGGAAATGGACCACTGGCTCACCCGGGGACTCTGGAGGCCTTTCATGAAGCCTGCTGTAGGGCTCTCACTCAGAAACCGAAAGAATTCACCTCGCCGGCCCTGGACATGTGCGCACCTCCCGCCGACGTTTAAGGGCTCCTCCCATTGGAAAGCCGCCCCCAAATAGGCCTCGTCTCCCCACCTGCTCGGATGAGGCCTTGGGCGATGGCCTCCGCCATGCGTCCTGCGCCCACGAAGCCCACGCGCAGAGATTCAGACTCGGAAGCCGCCATGGTGCTCCCGAGTGGCCTTCTCGCGTCCCCGCGGCAGCAGCCCCGCCCACTAGAACTGCATTGACCGACAGAAACGACTGGGCGGGTTCGGGGCGGGTTCGGGGCGGGTTCGGGGCGGGTTCGGGGCGGTGCGAGCCGAGGCGCAAACCCCTTCGTTTTGTTGGTTAAGGCGGGATTCTCCACCAGCTTTAGGTGAACCAGCCCGCAATTTTGTTGAGAGAAAAGGGAGAGGAAGGGTGGAGAGCTAGTCCTGAACAGGCTGTCTTATTCGTCCTGAGAAACCCGAAGCTAGAGTCTCCCCAAAAGCCATGCAGAGAGACGCGGAGGAAAACCTCGAGCCACCCCAGGGTGGAATTCGGGGTGTTCTTTACTAGTACCCGGTACAGCTCTTTCCGAACCTTGGGTTTGACCCTCCGTGCCACTTCTCTATATTTAAAGCAGCACCAACCATCAGTCACTAGTGCACAGCATTTAGTTTTCTATTTAAAACAAAACAAAACAAAACAAAAAAAAAAAAAAAACAAAAAACTTTGTTTGTTTTAGTGTTTCACCAGATTTATCTGTATTTAATTCCACATACATTTCGTACAGATTATAGTCATTTAGCTGAAGTGAAAGTAAATGAAATAAAAAGCAAGCAAAACAAGAAGCCCCAAACAGAACAAGAGCAGAAGACTTTCACGAGATAATCGGAAAGCAGGGCGGTGGTGGCACTAGGTAGGCAGAGGCGGGGGGATCTCCAGTTAGAGGTCAGACTGGTCTACAAAGCAAGTTCCAGGACTTCTAGGACTAAACAGAGATGCCTTGTCTCAAAAGGCCAAAAAGGAAGGAAGGAAGGAAGGAGGGAGGGAGGGAAGAAAGAAAGAAAGAGAAAGAGAGAAAGAGAAAGAGAAAGAAAGAGAGAAAGAGAGAGAAAGAAAGAAAGAAAGAAAGAAAGAAAGAAAGAAAGAAAGAAAGA